GTCAGCGGTGACCAAGAGAGCGCAACTCGCACGTGAGTACTGGGAAGCTGAGTGCTTCAAGCCACCAAGGATGCACGTGCTTTAATCGGGGTATCCTGGCTTGTAGCAGACAGACGACGGCGACAGCGCGCTGCGTCGCTGGGCTCACGACCAGACCGCCTTCGCGCCGCGGGAAGACGCCAAAGAGTAGATTCAAGCAAACGCACGCTGATTTACAGATCATAAAATGGGCCGTGCGAATCGCGAGTAGCGTCTTATCCATCCGCGTTTCGCTTCGCGTAACACGATCGCCCTCTCGGTGGAGCTCAAAATCGAGCAACAACTCGTTGCTAACGAGTATGGAAGCTGCTGCAACCGGCTGAGATCTCCAGAGAGCAAGAAGGAGCAGCATAAACTGATCCGATGGCCTACGCATAGTGACAGCAGCGCCCAACGCAGGGACCTACGTGCGGTGTTCGGATCGGCTTGCGTCGTGTTCGAAAAACCGTAGCGCTGATTTGGTTCGGGAAAAAGGTTCGCCGCTTGTTCCGGCAAAGAGAACCACCCGTTACACAAACACCGGCGAACTTCAATTTGGCCCGCAACGGATGATTACTTGGCGTTTGTATGTGGCCTTGGAACGCTGATACTCATCCCCAGCACGTCATTTCTTGGATCGCGCATGGGAACCATGCATGCAAAAAAAAAACTGTGAAGTTCACAGTGATGTGGACAACTCTGGCTGGGTTAATGTCTCCTTTGGTTTTGAATTTATAGCTGCCTTTGCCCCTGCTTAGATTTTTTTTTTTTTGCATGGCGCTCTGCACGAAGGTCGTCTGACCAACGTCAACTTACCCGCTCAACGACACTGGTCAGAGATTGTCGCGCGGCGAACGGTAAGGCCGTTTTTGCCTGTTCTGGAAAGAACTGCACCCATTGCTGCTAACGCGGCTGTAGAGCCTATCTTTTCGCTGTAGCGTGGGGCACTTGGCAGAGACCACAGTATTCCGCAAGCATACCGTAACGAAGTGGGGGGTGTACCGCGACAAATCGAACTGGGTGCGACTTGTGCAGCCATCGCTGCCGTTTGTCTCTATAACGTAGCGCAAATGACAAAAGTTTGCCAACATTTTCACGGCATGCTGGAGCCCATAGCTCCTGCCATCGGAGCTGCTCGCGCTGTCGTCCAGATAAGATAAGCCCGAAAGTATCTTGACGCCCCGTCTCCCGTCACTGGGACGCGATCCAACGGGTCGCGCAGTACGCGGTCTGATTGGACAGTATACATTTTTGCCGTATGCCCACCGGCAGACCCGGCGGACAATGCTGCCCCGCCGCCATCTCCCAGCAAACGTTCTCGGTCTCTCTTTCCACGGTTCATTCGCGGATTTCCAGTCCCCGTGACCAACCTCCCCCAGTCGAATATCGAAATTCTTGTGTCTAAACGGCAATAGTCATGCCGTCCGCGAAAACCGTCCGTCCGACTTCGGACTCTTCTGCTACTAGACCCACCAAGCGCGCTCGGGTGTCGTCTCACGGCCGTAAGGTCAAGACTGTCCATGACGCGACGGATCTGCCTGCCGCTCTGGCAGCCTCGGCCGCTGCGTGTAAAGTGCCCAAGTTCTTGCGCTCGCTGTATGCGATCCTGCAAACGGAGGACCCTCACATCATCTCATGGGTGCAGAACAAGGAGCTCACTCCGAACAGCGTCACTGCGTTCCACATCCTTGAGATGGAGCGCTTCGAGCGCGAGATCTTGCCCAAATACTTCAAACACCAGAAGTTCGCCAGCTTCCAGCGACAACTCAACAACTTTGGCTTCCGCAAATGGACCAAGACGCAGTCCAGTGGCGTCTGCACTTTCAGTCACAACTGCTTCCCACCTGATCTCTCGGCCAACAACAACTCGAACATGTCCATCCGGGACCAATGGCGCCAGAAAAGCACGCAAGTGATCCCTCCGCCCGCTTCGATGCTGAACGGGATTCCGATCAAGAGACGCATCGTCGGCAATGGCATCGCCAAGGCCAAAGCAAAGCAAAGCGACAACATTTTGCCGCGTCGTCGCCCGGTAAATGTTCAGGTGTCTGTCAGTATGGCCGACCCGTTCGCGGACATGTACCGCAGTCCTAACGCCAATGCAGGCATGGAGAGCAACGCCTTCCGCCACAGTCTCAGTCACCAGCCTGCTCTTAAGAAACTGGCACGTCCGAGTATTACGATAAAGCAAGAAACAGCCGAGCCGCTCAACGGACTGGAAGCTTTTTGTGATGACTCGTTCAAGCAGTTCATCTTGCCGCCACTGCAGCCACACCATTTGTTGTCTGCTACGCCGAGGACTGCGCCACCTGCGTCGTTGACGCCGTCGTTCTCGAACCACACGGACTCCAGTACGTCTGGTCTGGGTGGATACCGGTTCTCAATGGCCAACAACACTGCGTTCTCGTCCGACTCGAACTACAACAACGCACTTAAGCCATTTGACTTGAAGCACATTGATACGCAGCCTCATCCGTATCCACCGGGTAACACCCACCCGAACACGGCCAATACATCGGCTGACGCAGCGCTACAAGGTGCGTTCTTGGAGCCGTGGATCTGGGACGCACAGGCTTCGTCGTCAAACCTCGAAATTGGCGCCTTTCCGCTCGAATTCGACTGCAAGAACGAGTTCGACTGGCAGGAAAGCGCCAACAACAATTATCAAGGTGTGTCGTCCACTGTGAACTGTGGCATGCCGACCAAAGAGCCGTGCCATCAGGAGCGCGGGGTGCCGTCTAACACCGAAGAGTTCGGCTTGGACAACCTGCTCTTCGTCGAGTAAAAGACCAGAAAAAAAAGATATGGCGAAGCAGCCAACACGCCCTTCAAACGGGCGCGTACCAACACCGAGGCCTTCGCAAGAAGTGTTCATACATCGGCGTAGCGTGTAATTGTAGTGCGTACGTGAGGAATTCACGAAAGCAAAGAAGTGAAAAATATTTTTTTTTGAAATAAAACTGCATCAATTGGATCTCGCATCTCCCTTTTCTTGTCTAATGCGCTTCTTACGCGCTCGTTGTTCTCATCGGAGATGTCTGTTGTGGTGGAATTACACCTTCGCCGTCACACTGTGAGCAGTTCTGCCCCAGCACCATTGAGTTGTACACGATCTTCTCAATACGATGGCCCTGGCATCGCGAACACAGTTGAACTGACGAGTGTCGCGGAGGAAGAAGGTTGTTTTGCTGCTGTTTCTGCGCCCACTTGTCCAGGATGCCGCTGGCTTCAAGTTCTTCGCGGCTAGAGTACCCCAGCCAATTCATGCCGGCGTTAGCGCTGGGTGTCGAGCTCCACGACATTGCATGCTTCGCGTCTGCGCGGACAGGAATTCGAGAATGAACGATACGGTTGGCTACTGCTAGGATAGCGACGAAAAGACGCTGTGGACGGTTGGTTGTGGCGCTTTCCTCACTACGTCTCTTCCCAAAAAGCTCATTACTAGAAGGATCTCGATGGGTGCTCAACTGTATCCAATGTGAACCTTACCGACTCAACGGACCTCTACGATTGAGAAAGAGGCTGCACGCATTTTCAACAGTTCAAAAGTTGAAGCAGTCTGCTCGTTCATCCCAGCACTCAGTAACTCATGCACTATTGCTACACCAAACCAGCGCTGTTCCAATTCTGCC